TGATTTTACAAGAAGCCAAAAGAATAGCAAGAGAAAAAGAAGTTGAAAACGTTACTGGTTCAGCAAATTGGTGTTATCGCTTCATGAAGAGAGAGAAGCTGTCCATGAGGACTCACACTAGACTTGCTCAAAGAATACCTGATGCACCAGACAGTGATGATGAGTGTATGAGCAATTATAATGAGTCTTGAATTTTGTTTGTTTGTAAAATTTCTTTCTTTGTAACTTGTTTCACTAATAAAATATTTTTTCAAAACTTCACAGTCAAAAAATTGGGGGTGGCTTATAGAAAGGGGGTGCTTATACATGGGGAAATAAGGTAGTTAAGTTGATGCAGGATTGGTAGTTGAACGTACGCCTACTTATATCATTACCTTGCACGAAATAGGGTGCTCACATCTCATATATCACATATGCTAGTAGTCTCGAAGCTATACTTATAAACATAAAATAAGTAATGATGTCGATTGCCATTGCAAATATAACGTTGCTTCATCGACAATCCCACCACAGAATGCGATATGGGGAAATTCACACCCAAAAGAATATACACTTCACTGACATGTTTCAAGCTTCACTGAGGGTGCTGATGAGGCCAGTTCAAGCAAGGTCGAAACTACCGTCCATTCCTGCCTGAATGACTATACCTTTCGGGGGGCTAGGTTGTGTGAAATTCATTGAAAACATAAGACCTACTCATATAATTGTGGAAAAATTCAATTCAATTTAGCAAAATAGGACCTTGTCTTCCTATTCTGCATATAAACGAAACATAACTTCAAGATTTCGTGATCTTGATTAATAAAATTGATCATGTTGTCAGGGTGGCCCAGATGAGCCTACTTTGTCTGAAATCTTCTGCCATGGTAGCCATGACAATTTTCAGCGTTGGGCCGAGAATTTGGTAGTTATTCAGACGTCCGTGAATCCTGCTATTCTTAGCATATCCATCACGATCCGACCATTTGGCCGGCCGGTCAGCAAAGTCCAGGCAACAGATGGCTTCTTTATCGCCTCCTTAGCCCAGTTGGCGCCACTCCAAAACATGCTAACACTTGCCACCAGTGGCCTGACCCGAGTGGTAAAGCCGCCAGGGCCAGTGGGGTCGGATGGGTCGGAGAGGTCCCGGCCTCAAAGCTTGACTGCTTGCGACGGGGAAATGGACGATGCTGTTTGCTCAAGCAGTGGGTCCGTCCCCCGCAGACCTGCTGACTGACAGCCAGATTGACTCGTCTTCCTCGTGGCCACAGCTTCACCCCAGACACTCTGTACCTTTTCATATGTGCATGTGTGTATACTGGCTGCTATAGCAACACTCCAAAAATCTCTCGAATCTTCTGATCTGTATTTGTTTTTCAGTATTTTTTATTTCGAATCATCCATTCGAATCGTCACGACTGCGGCAAACAATTACTCTCAGGTCCGGTCCATACCAAACCCGGCATGCGACGCTAACTAATGCCAGAGCAGGTGGATTGTACTGCCAAAACTACATGTTGGACATGTTGGAATGACGAAAGTTTGGTCGGGAAATTGGCTCTAGAGTCAGTTAATCTTCGAGTTACTCTAAATGAATTAGAGCTAGCAAAGCCTCGTCTTCGCAGCCCTTACACGAAATTCCCCATAAAATAGGTCGTCATGCCGAAGAAATTCATCTGTGATTCGAATCTGCCGGAGTCTGATAAGCCCAGGACGAGGTCTAGACTACAATCCGGCTTGGATAAGAACGATATGGGGCAAAGAGTTTCATCGCAAAAGCAGGACTTATCCACAATTTACCGAAGATTTAATTGCAACCAGTGCCTGTAACACCACATTAAAATGTTGTATGTTGTACCATTTTCGAATACTTTTTTTGATTGCATCGACAGCAACTCTGCGTAGAATGCGGAAAAGCTTGATTTGCTTCTTGAAAACTGAAGCCCAATGGCTTTAGAAAAGTCGATTTACTGCTTAAAAGTTGAGCACACAAGTGAATCACATCGATGACTTTCAAGGCAATGCCAAATAACAACATGTCGTAGGGGCCTTATGACCGGCTCTGAACCCAACCACCCATGGTTCGAATTTTGTTGGGGCTGCTAATGATATCAAAGAAATGTTCAAATTGCGGTCCAGCCTGAATGTATAGTGAAAGACGTCGTTAGGCATAGTCATTTCATCATGGGAAAATTCAATTATCTGTACCTTAAAGCATCTTAAGCGGCCGAGGCGAAATCGAGTTCTCAATCCTGAGACAAGACCGTAACATGCGAAGAAAAGTTGGTTTCATAATTGTTAAGCTTATTTCCATTTCGAGTGAAAGTGTGCGGTGAAGAGGTTCAAATGTCAAACAACCAGAAGATGAAAGGGTATTCTGCTTGGCCAGATGCCAATTGGCTTTAGTGAAAAATTCTCTTAGAAGCTTTCCGCGAGACAGTTTCCCTCGATTTAAGCGAGAAAATGGTAAATTTTCACATGCCATCCTCAAAGAAGGGTATCATACTTACTAGCATATACGATATATACAGAGAAAGACACACTCATAGGTTTCGAAGAAGATATATTATCGTAACTAACCAAATCACTTTACACCTGAATAGAGTATATATACCGC